AGAGCTTCTAAATTTTGCATGTTTCAGTCGTGTACAAATTTATATATGTTAAAATATCTCTTGGTTTCACTGCTTTGACGTTCTAAATGTAATGATATATGAGTGAGTGCTTGCAGATATAATATACTCGCAGGTATTTGATCGTTTTACTGTATTCAAATCAAATTTTTTGAAGTGGATGTTTACTAGAGCTTTCGAATTTTGCATGTTTCAGATGTGTATATATCTATATATTAAAATATCTCTTGCTTTTGTTGTAACGATGTTGATCCTAGAGCAGTACATACAAGGGCACGTTTCATACGAGTAACATTTCGTACATCCCTTTGCACATAAATTGCTTTCATCAAGTTGAAGAGACAGTCGGACACGCTTTTCTGTATTTTATTTATCATTTCTTTGTACAAAATCAATTTATTAGCACCATACAAATCTGATCGTGATATGTTCGTTTTGTAGAATCTCAGTAAAAAATAACTATTCCAATCAACGTGTTTGCGCGTTCAACTGATGTATCCGGAAAATTCATATACGGGATAATTACACATTATCATCTACATATAGGGTTGTGTGTATTGACGTCTCTCATTGCACTCGTTCGCACATTTGCTGATAAGTGTAGATTGATACATAGGTGAGCATAGGTGCATTTAAATGAACATACTAAAGTGTTCACAGTTCATGTCACGTGTGGTAGATCATCTATTTGCGTACAATATCGAACAACTGAACAGGTGTCTCAGAAATTGCACAGGCGTATAATGGACGTGTAGTCGTATACTCCAAATGAACCGAGGGTTCAGGAAGAGGTGGTAACAAACCATGATGTGTCGGAATCGGACTATAGGCCTATAGTCAATCAAAACAACTATTGATTATAGTTTTGAAACACAAACGCGTTCAATCAGAATGAGCTAACGAGATGTGCGCCTCTTCGACTGCCATATATCTCGCCCAGTACTTAAAGGAAACGACATCTGTGAGATCTTACTAAATGCATTGTGAAAATGATAGGATTACAAGTTTAATGATTGCACAAGCAACAAACACAATAAGCAATGAGTGCATCACCGATCAGACCGATCTCTTAATATGTTTTCTTACATGGACTGATATATCTAGTGTACAACTTCACATGTACAAAGGTACCAGGCTACTAACAGGCTACTGGGGCGGAAATGCGCAATTCTCTGTAAAACTGCGCCTTGAATCTTTGGATGCACATACTAACGCTCGTTCCCATTCCTTGCTCACTCACCACATACTATTAAAATCTTCTGGACCAATCGGGCTCACTCCAACAAAAATAATCTCCTATTGTTGTATCATTTTAGTTCCACGTCGGATCACACTCGCATACTTTTGGTCTCGACCAAACTTCCACCACCAGTGCGAGGTAAACAATCTACGCCCGTCGATTATTTTCATACACTAGATTGTTGTATCATTGTAGTTCCACGCCGGATCACACTCGCATACTTTTGATATCGACCAAACGTCCACCGCCAGTGCAAGGGAAACAATCTACGCCCGTTGATTATGTACATGCACGAAATTGTTGTATCATTATAGTTCCATGCCGGATCACACTCGCATTCTTTTGATCTCTACCAAACATCCGCCACCAGTGCAGGTAAACAATCCACACCCGTTGATTCTACACATGCACTAACAACTCTACACTCGGTCCTTGCTGGCAAGAGAGATAAAAGGTTCCAATGCCCCACTTGTAGTCTCGAGGTTATAATTTTGAACTCACGATAAGAGTGCAGACTAGACGTCGCCACTTTACACATGTTGCCTCATGAGCCGTGCATACCATAACAATGACAGAGCAAATGATAGCACAGTCTTAGATACTGAAAGATAAGAGCGCCAGAAACAATGGCCATTGTGCTGACATTTACACCACGCCAATGTCATGACACATACCAGGTATCGCAGCATCTTGAATTGACTAAATCAGTAGAAATAAAAAACTGGAAAGACAACGTGGGAGACTTGACTACGGAACACAAAATCAAGCAACAAGTTATGACACTCGAATTCGATTCGCATCTGATCAATACACGTGGATAAACACTCGATGCTTAGAAAACTTCAGAGCAAGAGAACTACACTACCCAACAGCAAATACAGCTGTCACAGAACAGACCAAAACAATCGCTCCGAAACTGTACATATCAACTACAATCAGTCAGTCGAAGCCGAATGATATAAGCAATGATATAAGCTACCGAATGCATGTCCATGTATTCACTTATATTTTCTTACTCAAAACACAGGAAAGCTGACACTGCACCATTAGACTGTTCAGGAGTAATTTCCATATTGTCAGCAGCGCAACAACGAGTTTGGTAAGGGCACTAAGGAGAAAGAGAAAAACGACATAAAAACGGCGACTATCCCACCCGTACAAACAAATCACGTTACATGACCGTAAATACTCTATGTGCAGGCCAGTACAAAATCAAATAACGAATGCGCAACCAGCGATGATTATTTTTGTTAAAATACAACTAGAGTAAATGCATGATCAACAGACGTGTGATACTACATCCTCATAGGCTTTACTATATGGTTGCTACGGGAAGTAACATTAAAAACATTTAATGTTTCTTTAGGTTCAGTTTCTTGATGTAGAACTCTAACTCCTTACCCTCTAGAATGTAACCATCACAGCGACCACTCTGTCCAGGTCTGGACGAGATACACGCGTAAAGGCGTCCGGCGGTGAACTGACTGTCCACTGCATGCTCAAGCTTGACAAAGTCGGCCTTGCGGGCGGCAATTTTGTCCTGAAATTATAGATACATATTTTTAGCGAGAGGCCTATTCTTTAGCAAGAGGTATATTCTTTAGCGAGAGGTCTACAAGTAGACAAGCATCATACAACATAAGCAACCTATAATAATGAAAACATATCAATATCATAATACCAGGGCATGCCCAACAAGTAAGCTGTACTATGTTTGCCAACAAATTCAGATATAGATATAAAGGATATGCACAAGTTATGTAAGTAATACCACAATATTTACTTACAGTGACAGACTTGGACTGGGGGGCGGCAGCCTCGTCCTTGGCGACGGCCTGGCCCTTCTTGTTGCCAATGGAAACGCCGTAGTGAGCCTCATACCACTGACGGAAAGGAGCTCCATCAATCTGAACGATAGCGTTCTTCACAAGGGTATTGGTACGCACCAACTCATTGTTCGAAGAGTTGTATACCACACCAAGAATACGAACCTTACGGGAGATAGCTATAGATTGAATAACAATCAAGATTGAAACAATTAGTTATCAAGCACAAATATTATTCAATTTAAACCCTGTGTATGGATTGCAAGACTATCAACGGCGAACGCAATCCAAGCCTCGTAATACTACATATTCTTCTACGGATCACTAAAAGTACAAGCAAATCAATGATAGTATACTTGTAATTAACATACCCTCAGATCCCCAGGAGAAGGTTCCGTGATCTAGACGCAGAGCACGGAACTTCTTGTTGCCACCCATAGTGCGGACCTCATGGATGCGCTTGGCTCCAATCTTGGTCATGGCCGCAGGGCGAGCAAGTTCAAATTTACGCTTTTTGCGAAGGGGCGCACGGTGGCCACCGGTTGAACGGCGCTTGTGCCATGAATCTCTTCCCATTCCTATTTGAGAGGAGATAATCGAGAGAGGAGATAATCGAGAGAGATAGTGAGCATCTCGGTTGATAACTTCACCGTGCATTTCACTGAGCATATTTCCTATCGCAATCGGTCGGACACTTCCCATACATTATACAATGCGACCTCATTTCCGTTGGGTTTACTATGCAAGTGGAAATATACTAAGACTGGCGATTTCGTTCGTTTGCAGTCAACCTTCATTTGTGAACCCCAACACAAAACCTAGTGACGTGTAATATATTGTATGCTTACTCCTATTTTAAGATGTGCTTGCAAGTGATGAAATATATTACACACGAATAAAATCGTATAATCGCAAGTGCACAAAATGCAACAAGCACCGTATACGCATCTCAATCCC